TCATGCATAAAAAGTCATAGTATAGTAAGGCAAAAAAATGGCATAAAAAAGTCATAGTATAGTAAGGCAAAAAAAAGCATAAAAAGTCATTAAAAAGTCATAGTAAGGAATAAAAAGTCGAAAAAATGTCACAGTATAGTAAGGTATAAAAGTCATAAAAATATCATAGTATAGTATGGCATGAAAAGTCATAAAAAGTCATAGTATAGTAAGGTATAAAAAGTCATAAAAAGTCATAGTATAGTAAGGCATAAAAAGTCATAAAAAAGTCATAGTATAGTAAGGCATAAAAAGTCATAAAAACGTCACAGAATAGTAAGGCATGAAAAGTCATAGTATAGTAAGGCATAAAAAGTCATAGTATAGTAAGGCATAAAAAGTCATAAAAAAGTCATAGTATAGTAAGGCATAAAAAGTTCATAGTATAGTACGGAATAAAAAGTCATAAAAAGTCATAGTATAGTAAGGCATAAAAAGTCATAAAAAAGTCATAGTATAGTAAGGCATAAAAAGTCATAGTATAGTAAGGCATAAAAAGTCATGGTATAGTAAGGCAAAAAAAGGCATAAAAAGTCATGGTAAAGTAAGGCAAAAAAAAAAGTCATAAAAAAGTCATAGTATAGTAAGGCAAAAAAAGGCATAAAAATGTCATAGTATAGTAAGTCATATAAAATCATAGTATAGTAGGGCATAAAAAGACATAGTATAGTAAGGCATGAAAAATCATAGTATAATAAGGCATGAAAAGTCATGGTATAGTAACGCATAAACAGTAAAAAAAAATGTCATAATATAGTAAGGCATAAAAAGTCATAAAAACGTCTTATTATAGTAAGGCATGAAAAGTCATAAAAAAAGTAATAGTATAGTAAGGCATAAAAAGTCAAAATGTCATAGTATAGTAAGGCATAAAAAATCATAGTATAGTAAGGTATAAAAGAAGTCAAAATGTCATAGTATAGTAAGGCATAAAAAATCATAGTATAGTAAGGTATAAAAGGTCGTAAAAAACTGTCGTAGTATAGTAAGTCATGAAAAGTCATAGTATAGTAAGGCATAAAAAGTCATAGTATAGTAAGGCAGAATAAGTCAGAAAAACATCATAGTGTAGTAAGGCATAAAAAGTCAGAAAAAAGTCATAGTATAGTAAGGCATGAAAAGTCATAGTATAGTAAGGCATAAAAAGTCATAGTGTAGTAAGGCATAAAAAGTCATAGTACAGTAAGGCATAAAAAGTCATAGTATAGTAAGGTATAAAAGTCATATAAATGTCATAGTATAGTATGGCATGAAAAGACATATTATAGTAAGCCAAAAAAAAGTCAAAAAAAGTCATAGTATAGTAAGGTATAAAAGTCATATAAATGTCATAGTATAGTATGGCATGAAAAGACAAAAAAACATCATAGTATAGTAAGGCATAAAAAGTCATAGTATAGTAAGGTATAAAAGTCATATAAATGTCATAGTATAGTATGGCATGAAAAGACAAAAAAACATCATAGTATAGTAAGGCATAAAAAGTCATAGTATAGTAAGGTATAAAAGTCATATAAATGTCATAGTATAGTATGGCATGAAAAGACAAAAAAACATCATAGTATAGTAAGGCATAAAAAGTCATAGTATAGTAAGGTATAAAAGTCATATAAATGTCATAGTATAGTATGGCATGAAAAGACAAAAAAACATCATAGTATAGTAAGGCATAAAAAGTCATAGTATAGTAAGGTATAAAAGTCATATAAATGTCATAGTATAGTATGGCATGAAAAGACAAAAAAACATCATAGTATAGTAAGGCATAAAAAGTCATAGTATAGTAAGGTATAAAAGTCATATAAATGTCATAGTATAGTATGGCATGAAAAGACAAAAAAACATCATAGTATAGTAAGGCATAAAAAGTCATAGTATAGTAAGGTATAAAAGTCATATAAATGTCATAGTATAGTATGGCATGAAAAGACAAAAAAACATCATAGTATAGTAAGGCATAAAAAGTCATAGTATAGTAAGGTATAAAAGTCATATAAATGTCATAGTATAGTATGGCATGAAAAGACAAAAAAACATCATAGTATAGTAAGGCATAAAAAGTCATAGTATAGTAAGGTATAAAAGTCATATAAATGTCATAGTATAGTATGGCATGAAAAGACAAAAAAACATCATAGTATAGTAAGGCATAAAAAGTCATAGTATAGTAAGGTATAAAAGTCATATAAATGTCATAGTATAGTATGGCATGAAAAGACAAAAAAACATCATAGTATAGTAAGGCATAAAAAGTCATAGTATAGTAAGGTATAAAAGTCATATAAATGTCATAGTATAGTATGGCATGAAAAGACAAAAAAACATCATAGTATAGTAAGGCATAAAAAGTCATAGTATAGTAAGGTATAAAAGTCATATAAATGTCATAGTATAGTATGGCATGAAAAGACAAAAAAACATCATAGTATAGTAAGGCATAAAAAGTCATAGTATAGTAAGGTATAAAAGTCATATAAATGTCATAGTATAGTATGGCATGAAAAGACAAAAAAACATCATAGTATAGTAAGGCATAAAAAGTCATAGTATAGTAAGGTATAAAAGTCATATAAATGTCATAGTATAGTATGGCATGAAAAGACAAAAAAACATCATAGTATAGTAAGGCATAAAAAGTCATAGTATAGTAAGGTATAAAAGTCATATAAATGTCATAGTATAGTATGGCATGAAAAGACAAAAAAACATCATAGTATAGTAAGGCATAAAAAGTCATAGTATAGTAAGGTATAAAAGTCATATAAATGTCATAGTATAGTATGGCATGAAAAGACAAAAAAACATCATAGTATAGTAAGGCATAAAAAGTCATAGTATAGTAAGGTATAAAAGTCATATAAATGTCATAGTATAGTATGGCATGAAAAGACAAAAAAACATCATAGTATAGTAAGGCATAAAAAGTCATAGTATAGTAAGGTATAAAAGTCATATAAATGTCATAGTATAGTATGGCATGAAAAGACAAAAAAACATCATAGTATAGTAAGGCATAAAAAGTCATAGTATAGTAAGGTATAAAAGTCATATAAATGTCATAGTATAGTATGGCATGAAAAGACAAAAAAACATCATAGTATAGTAAGGCATAAAAAGTCATAGTATAGTAAGGTATAAAAGTCATATAAATGTCATAGTATAGTATGGCATGAAAAGACAAAAAAACATCATAGTATAGTAAGGCATAAAAAGTCATAGTATAGTAAGGTATAAAAGTCATATAAATGTCATAGTATAGTATGGCATGAAAAGACAAAAAAACATCATAGTATAGTAAGGCATAAAAAGTCATAGTATAGTAAGGTATAAAAGTCATATAAATGTCATAGTATAGTATGGCATGAAAAGACAAAAAAACATCATAGTATAGTAAGGCATAAAAAGTCATAGTATAGTAAGGTATAAAAGTCATATAAATGTCATAGTATAGTATGGCATGAAAAGACAAAAAAACATCATAGTATAGTAAGGCATAAAAAGTCATAGTATAGTAAGGTATAAAAGTCATATAAATGTCATAGTATAGTATGGCATGAAAAGACAAAAAAACATCATAGTATAGTAAGGCATAAAAAGTCATAGTATAGTAAGGTATAAAAGTCATATAAATGTCATAGTATAGTATGGCATGAAAAGACAAAAAAACATCATAGTATAGTAAGGCATAAAAAGTCATAGTATAGTAAGGTATAAAAGTCATATAAATGTCATAGTATAGTATGGCATGAAAAGACAAAAAAACATCATAGTATAGTAAGGCATAAAAAGTCATAGTATAGTAAGGCATAAAAATGTAATAATATAGTAAGGCATAAAAATGTCAGTATAGTAAAGCATAAAAAAGTCATAGTATCATGACGTATAAAAATTCACAGTATGATAAGGCATAAAAACGTCATTGTATAGTAAGGCGTAAAAGGTCATAGTATAGTAAGGCACAAAAAAGGCAGAAAAAAATCATGGTATAGTATGGCATAAATATGTCATAATATAGTAAGGCATAAAAACATCATAGTATAGTAAAGCATAAAAAAGTCATAGTACCTTGAGGACTAAAAAGTCATAGTATAGTAAGGCTTAAAAAAGTCATAGTATTGTATGGTACAAAAAGTAATAGCATAGTAAGGCATAAAAAAGGCATAAAAAACATTGTATAGCAAGGCATATCAAGTCATAGTATAGTAAGGCATAAAAATTTCATATGTGAAGACCTCTCTACCATGGCACTAGGTGTCCCTGTTTCTTTTTTGTTTTCCCTCTTCAGGAGCTGAATGCAGGGCTCAGGGTCAGCCTGATGTGCTACACCTGGGCCCTCTGTGAACCGTAAAGGAGACCCATTCAGTCCTGTCGGTCTCTCTCTCTCTCTCTGGCTGCCCTCTCTGTTCACGCTCTGGCTGTTGGTGTAGACGGTGAATATTAACTAAACCTCATTTGCCTTTTGTTCATAAATTATGTGAACCTTATATGCCAACTCGTATTGTCTTTCCTTTCTGGTTTTCCAGCCGTTGAGCCAGGCTGTGACACATAGTATATATATATAAGGTATAAATAGGTCATAGTATAGTTTGGCATAGTATGGTAAGGATAAAAACACTGTAGTACAGTAAGGCATAAAAACGCATTAATACGACATAGAATAGTAAGGCATAGAAAGTTCTCAAAATATCATAGTATACGAAGGCATAAAAACGTCCCAAAAACATAATAGTATAGTAAGGCAAAAAAAGTCATTAATACAACGTAGTATGGTGAGGTATAAAAACATCATATTATAGTAAGGAATAAAAAGTCATGAAGACAACATAGCATAGTAAGGCATAATAAGTCATAGTATAGTAAGGCATTAAAGTCATCTTCATAGTATAGAAAGCATAAAAAATGTCATAGTAAGTCAACTTTTTATTTTGTGATGTAAATAACCACAGAAGTCCAGTTCACTGTTAAAAAAATAATTTATTGCAGCAAGGAATTTTAATCTGAAATATTGACAGTTTTCCTATCAATAATACACGTTTGCATCCACTTCAATCCAACAAGAGCATTTAACGAGACACTAACAGCTGACAATGTGACACCTGTCTGATACACGTTTACCTGACACACATACAAATCACTGTTTCTCTCCACCACAGTTATGTCGACGCAACAAAGTACTGTTTCACACAAAAACTCTCTTTTACACACTGAACATGAACAAACACTAGTTTGAATGGTTGAATACGGAACAAGAGTTTTAGGGATACAGTTCATAAAATACTGAACATACAAAACTGAAGTTGCATCCACTGATTTTAAATCACTGCACAGTGAATCTGCACTGTCACTGCGGGAACGGAAATCATGTATTTAATTAATCTAATAAAGTCACCTCAGGGATGCTCCAGAAGCATTATGCTCACAATATGAAAAGGAAAAATCCAACGACAGTTAGACACTGCTAACTGAAACAGTCAGTGGAGATGTGTTGTATTTTGCATCTGTGATACCATTTTATTGTTTGGTGTATATTTATATTTTCTGACCAGCTACAGACGAAGTGAGGTCGTGTCCACATATTTCCAGCAGCTACAATGAAGTTAGAAAATGTCTCATCAATCTGAAACAACAGTTTGTGTTTTTGTGCCAGAAATCCCCAAAATCAAAAAGCAGGGGTTTCCTCTACAGCTGTGATTTTACACCCAAATTCAAAAGTCTTATAAGGAGAAATGAATTGTAGAAAAGTTGTAAGGACAAGTTCACACACACCCGGGTACAGGACAAAGACAAATTCACTGCGGGTGCAAGTTACATTTTAGTAAAATTAAGGAGGAACACTTCATTTTCTTTTGCACCCTAAACATAATCACATAGAGTCTTGCTCATGCAGGATGATAATACAGGTGATTTTTCCAACAAAATTCATATCGATTTGATACGTGATATATGTAAAACTGCTGTTTCTGCTCAAATTTAGTTTGTATGTGTTTTCTTGGATTTGAAAGTTTGGTTCAAGCCAAATTCTCTTAAGTAACTCCAAGGCCTATTACGTATGTTCACCGCCCCGACTCTGGTAGCAGCTGCTGAGCCGTGTAAAAAGGCTTACATAGAAAACAACAGGTGCACATCAGACAGAGTGAAATAATGTGGTGACGAGGATTTGAGCCTGAAACCAACGTCTGCATATTTAGAATTTCCTGATAAAGTGAATGAGAATAAGCACATTTTTCTCATCAAGACTCATCACCTCTGTGCACGCGACACAGTTCAGACCCCCTCTCGGCAGAAATGCATTCTGGATAATTATGCACACCAGGACAGTGTCCAAAATCCTTTCCTCGTTCACTCCTCCCTGTATAGTAGAAAGTCAATAGTTTGTACGTGCACATTTATAATGCTTGTAGTTATAGAATATGACACAAAGTTACCACAAAGTAGCTGCTGGAAAATTATAAAGATCACAGACTAGTTGTGTGAAGCTGTGCTGAGGGTGGATTTTTCCTTTCACATCACTGCTCGTTTAGTTATGTGTTTCTACTCTGTGTCTATTCTGATCCAGGTCAGCCTTTTGATGTCGGGCTTGGTAATATCTAACACATCCTACGTACAGTACAGATCCTGTCTGGACGTACTAAGTCATGTACAGCCGGCGCTGTTCGCTCTCCGCCTCGGCCCCTCGTTCAGCTCAGATTGAGACCGGGCAGACGAGGACGCGATCCTCCAGCAGGACGCTGAGGACGAGGAACACAAAGTACAGTACGAACATGGTGAGGCCCAACATTCGGCTCATCTTCCAGCGACAGGCAGCGATTGAAACGATGACGAAGATGAGCATGAGGAAGAGCAGCACGATGGCGCAGAACAAGCCATTGGAGCTGACGGTTACCGGCTTGCCGTTGTTCAGCAGAGTGTAAATGAGCCAGGGGACCGGCAGGCTGGAACCAGAGAGGATAGATGTGTTTCTGTCAAGTTCATATACAGTTTACAGACCAGTGCATCTTAGGAGAGTGAATATGGGTCAGTCTATTTCATGTTTCCTATACTTCTCTACTACATTTCAAAGGAAAATATTACAATATTATGTAGTAAATATGCAGCTGGGAGGTGAGAAGTAGTTCATAAATACATATTTCAGGTCAGTTTGAAACGAACAAAGAGAAAAAAAACAACCTAACAAACCTTTTCGAATGCAGCTGAGAACTAAAGTTAAGCAGGAAATTCAACCACTTCCATAGTTTTTGAACATAGAAAGTGGGAACTTAAATCAGTGTTTTCCTGTTGTCTTGAAATATTCAGTATATTGTCCATTTTCACAGCAATAATTCTGTCAGCACACCAAGAGTCACGTCAGGTGACTTTTCCCACGAAAAACATTAAAACTAAACACTTCCTCCAGAATTTCTGCATTAAAATTCTCTCAGCCTTTAGGCTTTTAATGTGAAAGGAAAAACATCAGGAAGTGTTGAGTTTTGTTGAAGGTAGCACATCATCATCATATCATAAGGAAAACCCTGAGAGGCAAGTAAAGTAAAAGAGGCTGAACTGCACCACTACACCAGACTAAATGAGACTAAACGCACTCATGTTTTTTCCAGGTGATTTTTAATTTCTCCATGTACTGTAAACACAAGGTACATACATTATGTGTTACCCAGTTATGTAACATTACTGTCACATCTTTCTTTTGGCATGAAATATATTTTAATCAGCAAGGTCTTTGTGCAAGAGACGCTTTAGGAAGTCAGCTACAAAGCCCATGTAATGAGTAGTGTACAGTGGGTTTCACAAATTCCATTATATTTATTGACTTATTTAACTTATTATATTCATTTTTTGATTTATTTTTTATTTTAAACTTTTATGCTTCTTCCTGCAACTTCTCCCAGGTGCAAGAAAAAAAAAGTTCACTTGCCTCTCCGTATGATCAGGAGTGGGGGAATGCTGAGTATAACATGACTGTGAACGTTACACTGAATTTGCCATGTGAGCTGCTGTAGAAAGGTACAGGTGATTCCCTCAAGTGTTTTTCATTCCATTATATTTGGTAGAGAAAGGGTTCTCCGGTCACTCACCCTACAGTGATGTCAAAGATGTTACTGCCCACTGAGCTGGACACCGCCATGTCCCCCAGACCTTTCCGGGCCACGATCACACTGGTGATCAGGTCAGGGATGGACGTCCCGGCCGCCAGGATGGTCAGGCCCATGATTTCCTCTGAGATGCCGACGGTCTCACCCACCTGCGCACAGGAAAAGATGAAGACAGGTGTCAGTTCGACCAAAAGCGTTCAACTGGTAAATCATGACATCAGACATTTCAGAACTCAGAAAGACAGAATCAGAGACACACGGCCACGTCCTCAGTGTGACTTTAAAGCAACACATGAATTCATTGCTGTTTATTCTGAATATTCATAAGTGAGTTAAATCCATTTTTAAAAAAATCATTCAATCTTAAATTTGTCCATAGATAGCCACTCTGAGTTTGCAGACTCCATAAAACTACAACGTCCATTTTTAAACACAAACAAAATATAACGTCTTAATTAGTGGCTTTAGAGCTGCTGGTGGGCAGATTTCCCCATTTCCAGTCTTTATGCTAAGCTAGGCTAACTCGTCTCTGCCTGTAGCTCCACATTAATTGTACAAATACTAAAGAAAATAAAGTAAATTTCCCAAACTGTTGAATTTTCTCCTTTAAGTGCAGGAGTTGTATACGACTGGTGCTGTTTTTAAAAGTGTGACGTGTGAACCGACCTGATGAGCCCACCACACCATCAAGTAGGAGAAAACTCCGATCCACAGGATGGAGCCGATAAACGTCATGACAAAATATCTCCTGGACGCCTGGAAAATATAAAAGAAGATCACATCAGATGTTCAGAAAAAAACTGTTACAGACTTGACATGTAAACATCTGGAAACAGATTTGGATCCAGATGTGTAAAGAGTGCTAATTATTATACACACTTATTCACATTGTGGACAATAATGTTCTTATAATAGATATAATATATTTTACTATCTTATAATGGTTTATCCATAAAATTCTGTTATAATGACATTGTATAATTTCTAACAGACCAAATTGACATCTTCAAATGTCTGAAGACCAACAGGTAAAACTCCAAAGATCTTCACTTAATCATCATTTTCCACAAAAAGCATCAAATCCTCCTCTTTGAGTTGGACGTTTGACAAATATTTGACATTTTTGCTTGTAAAAAGACTAAAATGATTATTTGATTATCAAATCATTCAATCATCATTTTTGTGTTGTGCAGCTCTAATTGATTAACAGAAAACTAATATTATAAATGCCATATTTGATAATTTATGGTTCTCACATGTGATAATTTACTACAAAAAAAAAAAAAACATTCAATGATGATATCAGCAGATTAATTGATAATGAAAATTTAACCATTTATTTGGGTGAAATGAACCTTGTAACAGACATTTTTCTTATTAAAGCTACTGGGAATAAACCGGTTTCACACCAGTTGTAGTTTCAACCCGAGTGGAACCACCTGGATCCAGCTGAACACCTGCACTGGTCTAATGACTGCTGCTGTTTCCATGACAGCAGAGTGAAGGTTTAACAGTGTCTCTGAGGGCCGTTCGTACTCACCAGGTTGCGGACGTCGGGCAGCGTGAGCCACAGCGGGAACACGATGGGCAGCAGGAACAGGTAGGTCGCCTGCTTCCGTCTGGTTTCCGGCCACTCCAAAGACAACGGCTCATTCTCCTCCTCTGCTTCCTCCTTCTCCTCTTCCTCCTTGTTTCCGTCATCATCATCCTCATCGTTATCGCCTTCACCCTCACCAGAGTCGCTGCTTTCCTCGCCATCGCTCTCGTCTTCATCGCTGCCCCCTGAGCCGTCGGATCCTCCATCTGCTGCTGCTGCCGCCTGCGGGAGAGGAAACACACGAGTGAAACAGACAGTCGCAAAAATAAAGACTGACTCAATTTAAGCCAAAAACATTAGACACCTAACCCCCAGACTAACTCAGGCCTTAGACCAATGTTACCATGGTAACAGCCAATGACACCTGCACTGACCAAAGAAAAAAAACAGGAAAATATGGTTCATTATTTGTGGTTTGTTAACATTGTTCTGGAGAGACAAATGAAAAGGGGAAAGAGTTTTTAGAAATCAAATTTTTGATACTCAGATTTTTTTCATTGTTTCACTCTTCACTGAATTTCAAAGTAAAACAAACATTTTCTGCTGAGGGTAAAAGGAGCTGAGTGGTTGGATGCAGTACCTCGGTCGGCCATTTCTTTTATTTTGAAAAAAAAACATCTTAATTTCCCCAGAATTCATTGTACCACAGTCTGTCTTAAAAAAAAGTCAAGAACTAAACTGCTTTGTGCAACAGATGAATTCAAACGTTTATCTGAAGTATTGAACTGAACTATTTGTTATATGTCTTTGTGAAACCGCCCCAGGACTGCGGCGCTCGAGCCTGGTCCATATAGAACCTCATTCAGCCGTGCGTCATCATTTTCCTTTAAAAACTGGAAGTTGTGCAAGTAATGGAAGGATGCACGGATGAAAATAAAGTTGGTTTATTTTTTGTTTATTTCCTGGGGAAACAGAAGAAAAAGTCTGATTCTATAGATTAGGAAACAACAATTTTAACACACAAATATGGATGTTGTGTTCAGAGGGCCTTAACTCTTCATATTTAGTTACGTCCCTATGACACATATTAATTTGTATAATTTGTTGTTTGTGGTAAATAAAATTTGATCATTTGATTTCAATGCAATCTTATCCTTCGATGACCAACAAGCCAGGTCGTAGTGTGGGAGCATGAAGTCATTACAGATTATGTACATGTGTAGGGGTCCGAGAAACACGGTTTGCACTTTGGTCTTGAGATGAAAAACTGATGGAAATGATGTGAAACACAGTTATTAAAGTATGTTGAGAAATACAGGTGTGATAATGGAGGTATCAAAAGTTTAAAAGGGTCCATGTCTGTCCCCGCTGTTTATCAGGAGAGGGCAGAGAAATCATCGTACCTTGGACTCGTCCGGCTGGTCCGGCTGGTCCGACGTCTTCTCAGTGGTCTCCTCTGTCTTTGGAGGCTGTGAGGTGGACGGCTCGGCTGCAGCGCCCCCTGGTGGATCAGCAGCAGCGGCCTGCTCGGACTTTGGCTTCTGATCACCATCTGGAGAAAGAGCGGGAAGACACAGAGCGATGAGAGCCTGTTTGAGTTTGAACAACGCTCGAATAAACTTGTTCATCTACTCACTGATCAAAGTTCAAACGGTTTCTGACTAAAACTAAAACAGGGAACTACATCAGCTCCAGTCGACCATTTACTGATTTGAAGCTTTCATTGACTTATTGATGTTTATTTTTAAAATATCATTTATTCATTGTTTTTTGATGCTTTCGGGGTCTCTCGTTTACTTTAACAATCTTTTATTAGAGTGCTGGCTGCTGTTTAACCTCCTCATTCTGTCTCTGATGTTTGTTCTCTATTACATTCATATATGTATATAGCCAAGTTAACACTCACAACTTTAAGTTTATTTTTATTCTCTTTCTTCTTTAATAATGCAGTCATTAATTCACCAGTAAATCCTTATAAATCGTTACTATCAAACAGGTTCCTTTAAACTGCTCTAAATTCTGCTCACACACAGTTTTAGCACTAACCTCATTGTTTTTTTTAACAGAACTGTTGTTTATTTTACACTTTGACACTAAACAAATCGAAATTGTAATGAAAAGCTGACGGACTTATTATGCTGTGTGGGCTGCTATGAAGAGCCAGTGGGAGAGATTGAAGTGTTTGGAGATAAACATGCTTCAGACATGGAGGAAAAGCGATTCACACACACACACACACACACACACACACACACACACACACACACACAACAAACACACACACACACACACACACACACACACACACACACACACACACACACACACACACAGTGTCCCATCTGCATGTTAATCCTCGGGCTGATTGGTCCGGGCTCGTTGAGGCCTCTCCAGACGCCCCGCAGCCTCACTTTGCTCTGCACCTCAGACTCTGAAGCACCTCATTACTCCACACTGTGACGCACGAACACACAGACTGAGAGGCTCTGCTGATTGTGGAGAGCAACCTCCTTCAACCCCAAATCATCTCCGACCATCCACAGGAAGACAACCAGCCTCTTATGGATGCTGCATCTCCAGTGCAGAAATTTTTGAATAAAATATCTTACTATATGATCCAAAAATGCCACCAATCAGTCATAGTTTCCACCTGCTTCCAGTCTCTGTGCTAAGCTAGGCTAACGCACTTGTGAAGCTGATTGTGAAGCTTTTATTAAAATGTCAGATTGTACCTTGTAAGTTAAGGTGTTAAACTCACCTTCAGCGTGTCGCTGCTGTGACTTGCTCTGTAATTTGCCCGTGACCGGGATGTTCAGAGGCTTAACTTTGTTCTTTGCTGAAATTAAGAGAAGGACGGCTCATACATTACATGTGAGACCTGAGATATACTGAACGTCTTCCACTGAGCGCCACTGAGTCAGCATGCCTTTGACCTTATATCCACACACTGGCCATTTGGTAAGACACTGGCACAGAGTAACTCAGTAACTCGCCCCCCAAAGAAAAACCACACCCAAATCTATGCTAAAATACAACCCTGCATCGCTCCAGATTCTTGTATTCAGTGTTTCTATTTTTTCCTCTGAGGGGAATGACAATTTGTGTGAAGACTAAATATATACATATATATATATATATACACACACACATTTCTGTAAATAATTGTGGACTATTATCTTCAAATACATCTGTTTCAACATGACAAAGCTAACATTTCAGTTTTTATTGATGAATATGGAAGGGAAACAAAGCAGTGTTCAGTTCTTCTCTCTATTTGCCCTGTATTTTAGATTGTACTAATAAATACAACAAGTAAAACAATCATAAGGAAGGATGCACTTGAATCCTTCTTGGAGACTCGTTTGGAAAACAACCACATTTTTACCGACGAGTTGCACAAACTGAGAATGAATCCAGTGATTTTTACCAGAGTTTTCCAAACAGCCAGTGTGTGAAAAAGGTCAGTGATCTTCACAACCACACAGAAACAACTGGATACAAACACGCAAACATGAAACCACCATCTCAAATAAACATGCAACCATCCAAAATCAGTTCAGAAGCATTTCTGAGACAGAAGCAAACTGGACTGAGCATCACCATGACAACAGACTGGGAAACAGATATGACACAAACATGTCTTACCTTTCCTCTGCACTGACCCCTCCCCTCTGACATCACCGTTAAAGGACGTCTCTGATTGAGAGACACATCAGAGTGAATACCTGAACACTAATCAAGTGGGAAAGGCTGTTCTCTGTTGTCTTTTGGTTTAAACGACTGTCAGGGTTGCACGTGAACGCAGCGCGGTTTAGACTGTACAATCACAACAACACACGACAGGGAACAACAGGGAGGCGACATCTTGTTGCCCGCTCTTACCTCGTCTGGCTTTCCTTGGGCCGGGGGTTTTAAGAGCGCCTCTAAGGGCTGCCTCTAGGATGGAAACCAACAGCAACGATTTTAATTCTGGGTTTTATTCAATTTTTATATTATTGCATCATCTACATTTCAGTGTTGCTCGTGCTGCAACACGATCTCAGTCGGTGTAACAAGTTTCAGTTCGACTCAAACTGACAGACCTCAGTCTGTGCTGTTGAATGCCGCCTGTGGTTTGTCAGTATTTTGTGATGAATTTATGTTGTTTTCCTTCAACCCATCTGGTTCCATAACTTCCACATTATCCCTTAACACCTTTCAACAAACCTGGAGAATGCACCTGGATGTTAATAGGTTGTTAGTAGGGCTGCACAATTATTCAAAATATAATCAAAATCGCAATACGAGCAAGTGCAATATCCAAATCGCAGGAGCTGCAAAAAGTAAGATGTGTCACAACACTGTTGTGCATTGTTAGCACCATACTCGTTGTGGTGCTACAGAGATGTCCCGGCCTACAAATCATTTTCTCCAGACATAAAGGAAAGATGTTGGTTTGGAAAATGAAATGCAAAAACGATATCTGCCAAAATAATTGCAGTATGATTATTTTGCATGTCGCCCTGGTTGTTAGTGAAATGAATTCTGGTGCAGATGCCGTGCAGCTCAATAGAAGCTTCACCATGATGAACTAAAAGGCTACAGGGACAGAGAAGACCTGGTTACCCAAAGTCGTTCTTTTGAAGATTTAATAAAAGATTATTAAATTACTTATTAACCATTAATAAATCCATAAATTACAACTTATGAGCCCCCTACAAAGGGTACTCTACTAGAAAGTGGTACTAAAACTGAAATTAAAACTGATCTGCAAACCTAGATCCACAAATCCTGGGTGCACCACAGACTTCCTTCTCCCCTTCTGTCAGATATCTACTGATTCCTTCGTACTCTGTGGCTGCACAACTGAATTTATGTAACTGGAAAACAACAGAGGTGTAATTATCTGGAGGCTTCATTCAAGATGCTGACACTTAACATTCAATCCAGCTGCATGAGGCCGGTCTGGGTCTCGGCTCCAGGGCCCACCGCTACACTAGTTCCATGGAGATAAAGAGCTTGGTCTGCTAGCACGCTGGCTCTTATCCAGCTTTTATTAGCCTACATTGAAAAGCTGATTAAGGATCAGCTGTGGTCGAGCGCTGCGAGAGCGAGGAACAGCAACCTGGTGAGTTCGAGGACGTGCTGAAGGTCGCTGCGGTTCATCACGCTAGCCCTGACTTACAGGAAGGGACGGGGGGGGGGCGAAGCAGCACAGAGCTTAGTCACTGCCGGCTTCACTGCATCCCAGAGCTGGAACATTAGCTGACAGAAAGATAACTCATTAATCTTTCAGTAACGTTTCAAGAGCTTTAATGTCAGCTAATGGTATATAAACATCTAAATGTTCATAATACAGTGTAATGTAGTTGAAAAGCAGATATGTAATGCATTTGTTAACTGTTACTCATGACTGGAGGCTGCTGGACAGACTTGATGGAGCTGCAACACCAGCAACAATATAACCATCAACACAACAGTTTCTCCATTTTTTAAAAGTTAATTAACGCTTTCACACTGTTTGAAAACCATTTTCAGATTTGGCAAAAACCACTAAAGTTAAACTTGTCAAATCTGGACTAGATTAACAGGGATTGAGTGTCCCATTATGTTTTTCAGGAAAATATCCTTCATTTTCCATGTGTTTTCCAGGACTGGTCAAACTGGTCTAAAAGTTTCCAGGTTTTCCAGGACGGTGGAAGCCCTCATCAACAGCCCAGTATCTAGTCAAGGTAGACGGCAGAGACAGAACAGTCTGATGTTATAACGTTAAAGTCATTTACCAATTGTTGTGATTAAATAATATCCAAAGTCTCAACATGTTCTCCAAAGGTTAAAAGGTAAATTAATTTGTACAAATACAAAGCTGTTAGGTTTTTTACTTTTTACTTTTAGGGGAATTTCATTGTATATTAAATGGTATATTTGATGCAAGACATTCAGACATACAGTATTTTGTTGTTTTATAATGTTGCCTTGAGGTGCAAAAACAACATTTAAGAAAATGAAATTCACCACAACTGTTACCTTCTATCTGTGACCTTTTAAATTTCACAGGGACTTTATACATTTCAACATCCACCTCCACCACCAGGCTGCAGACTTTATCTCGTCACTGCAGAAGCCGTTGTCGGCTCTGCGTTGTTACCTTCTCCCAGAGGGTCCAGTGTGTGGATCATCAGCTGGAAGATGGTGCTCCGTAGCGACGTGTTGTGGAGAGAGGCCGAGCTGCCGCCTCGCTGCAGGACAGGGCGTACCTGCAAGTCAGAGGACACATATTCAGAAATGAAACTTCAAGGTAACATTTCAGGACCGATAGTACTTTTCGTTTCAATTTGACAATTAAACGCTAAAAACTCAACGCTCATGTCTGAAACAGTATTGAAACACATTTCATTTTGCATTTTGTTGGGATTAATAACCGGACCAGACCAACTTAGAAATAAAGTATAAATAAATGGAAAGGAAACAGACAGCTTTGAGAGTTGCAGGGGTTTAAGTAACAAGTTATATTTACTCTTGTTACTGTAACAAAGTCAGTTTCTTTTGTGTGTCTTTTTTAAAAATCAGTTATTATCCTTCATCTTTCAGTATTTTTTTTACTCTAATATTTGATTTTACTACATTTAAAGTCAAAGTAAAAATAAAAGCTGCATGATGAAGTTATGAATCACTGTGTGAGAACGCAACAAATGAAAAGAGTCAAATCAGCCGCAGCAGCAGAAAAGAAGCTGCTGATTTAAGGCACCGCCCGGCGACCATGGGCGAGTGTCTCAAATCAAACACACCTGCCATGCGGCGCGACCAACAGGTGCATGCTGGGTCTGACTAAATGCTAGATGCTGACGGTGGATCCTTTAGCTGTGACTACGTTCACTTCTGCAGTCAGTGAGGTGTGTTTCTGATGATCCTTGTTGTGGCTGCAGCTCATCGCCTCAGTGTTTGAACAGTTGGAGGAGTGAGACCTGGGAGGCTGAGGTGACTGATTATATTTTGCAGTGAGAATGAACGAGCAGAGAGGCTGGATTTAGTTCAGACAGGTGAGCACAGAAAAACTACAGCTCCTACAAAAAAACACCCCAAAAAACTACAAAACTAGCAGATCAAACCCATATCCTTAAAACTCACCAACTCTCGTGTCAAAAGCAATTTTTAATTCTAGTCTGATAACTTCTACATCACGCTCACACACTTCTCTATGCTGCTGATTTGTGTGAACTACCAACGACCGACTCGCTCACCTTCTGTCAACAGAATGAAATAAAACAGGAAAAACAACCCTTATTCTGAATTGGGAGTTTTCACGCCATATTCCAATGTGGTTAGCCCAAGTGCTAACCTTGTAAATTAGCTTCTTTGTCGTGTTGCTGCTTTAAAATGATGCTGTTTCAGTTATATGAGTGTAAACACTGGGTTTTATCTTGGGGTAACTGCCAGCGATGGTGCATTTGCAGCCATGTCTGTAAACTCTGACAGAGTTTAAACCGCATGATGTAAACATAGCATTAACCTGCAAATATCTAGGGCTTATGGGAAATGGTGTTTGTTAAAGGCTGCAAAAAAACCAAACAAACATAAATACTGAATAAAGAATGATGATACTGTTGAGAGACGCCGCTCAAAGTTTCGGTTTCACTTCAGCTCTCTATCACAGCACACTCCATCTTCTAAAAGTGAATTTAACACCTGTACTACTCTATACAAGACATTTTACAGCCTCAGACTTAAAATAACTTTTTTCATTACTTGCAGACAAGCTGATAAAACTCTCCACTGAACGAGTATCTCTGGGATTCATTTCTACCTTCACACAAGAAATTCATTTACAAACAACATAATTACGCAATTAGATGAATAATCAAAATGAGCACAGAGAACGGTTTGTCATTGCAGGTGTTTAAAAGTTTGCCTGAAGCTGAAACCTGCTGATATCTGCTGTACATCAGAAGATCAAACAGCAGTCTAACCTCAGGTAACAACGATAAAACCATTTTTCATACCCTGAGTCTTGCTTTGTCGTCCTGTGAGTCTGACGGTGGTTTGCTGCGATGAGGGCTGCTCGGGGGCGGTTCAGGTTCTGGTTTGGATTTCTCTTCAGCTTTTGGCGCAGGGGGAGGAGCAGCAGGGGGAGCAGCAGCAGCAGGAGGTGGTGGAGCTTCACTGTCCTGTGAAGTCAGTGACAACCTGATCAGTTAGCAGCACTTCAGTAATTCAGCTGACACACAAGTTATAATTTACAAGCTTACGAACGTTTGTGTGTGTCTTGAGTTTCGTTTGATCCACTGTGAAAAGATTCGCCGTCACACACAAACATTTTTTATCAGATTTCCATCTTCAAAAATCTTTTTTTTTCTTTGGGCAAATGAAAAGTGTAAAAAGAAGAATTTCATGTTGATTTAAGGGAAACAAAATGAGCGAGTCACTGTCACTGTGCTAACAAAGAAGCAAAGGTTTGACGTGCTAAAAATAAAACACGACTAAAACGGGAGGCGGTGGAGCTGATGTGACCATGGTGGAGATGGACAGGTGAATATCTCAGGTGTTATTACAGAGGCTATACTGTATGTCCATTCTTCACATTGACCCTGAGGGAGCTGAATTTCCCTCACAGCTACTTACGTGCCAAAATAATCAATAAAAATCTGTATTTATAATATTTGTTTATGGTTTAGTTGATTTTGTTATTCATTCAAATAAAGGCAAAGTCAAGCAAGTGTTTGTTCCCCTGTGGAGAAAGGCAGACAAAGGCAACAATGATTAGTTGATTAATCAATCATTTGATCAACAGAAAAATAATTGGCAACTATTTTGATAATTGATTAATCATTAAAGTCATTTCTGGACCAAAAACTATCAAACATTTCCTGGTTCCAGGTTTGTGAATATTTCAAGCTTTTCTCTGTTTAACATCATTGTAAACTGAACAGCTTTGGGTTTTAGACTGCAGAGTTTCTATTGTATTTTATAGATTAAATGATTAATCAAGAAAAATTGATTAATCAATAATCAAAATAATGAGCTATGAGGGCAGAAGAGAAAATTAAAGGACAAGAAAACTCTTGCTCTCTCAAATCTCTGGTATGTGCCACTTCCTGCTTGAGCCCATTGTCTCTGCAGCATGAATCTTATAACCTGTATCTCCAACAGGTGTCCACAGGTAAGAGATAAGACTAAACATACTCTAGAAAAAGGCAAGGAAAAAGAAGCGGCGAGAAAAAGACGTGTTTGATTGTGGAAAATTGTTATAAATGTAAAAAATACATATATTTATCTGAAATATATGAATTCCTGAAAAAAAAAGCCTAATTTGAATTCCAGTAATTCTGACCCATTCATGTGGCAGCAAGTCTCATTTCACTCAGTGTGCTGACTGAAGAGACTGCACACATGCTTCAGGCTAACTGGAGGATCTGCTGCTGACACTTGAAATACTGAAACACAGTTGTGCATGTTAAACACAGGCTCGGACATTAACTGCTCTCTGTCGGCTGACGAAAGCCGCTTTGTCTGCAGATGGCGCTAAAAAAAAAATACGCCTTTTAAAAAATGCATTATTCCTTTGTTTACAGGTTTTTTTTTCTGAATATAAATGAAATGACGTCTCCATGCTGATATTTCAGGGCTGTGACACAGAAACAGAGTGACATTTCCATCACTTCATCGGTGTGACACACTATCTGTGACACCTGGAGTCCTTTCTGTTCAGCATCATCAAAGGATTTTTACACAAATACAGGCTGTCACCTGCTCAGACCCACAAATCACTGTCCCTCTTTCACTGCGTCTGAGCAGGCAACAGTCCCAACTGTGAGGAGATGAAAGGAGAGAGAATATACTGTGTGGAGATGGAAGTTGGTCCGGTAACAACGGCTCTGCAGAGTCGTCTGTTTTGTCGGTATCCATGGTTTCTCATGTCTGATTACTGTGGGGGGTTTAAAAATCAACACCTGCTGGAGTTAATTCATACTTCAGGTCAGTTTAGAGAAGAAGGCTCGTGCTATTCTTTCTCTTTTTCTATTGTCCATGATAAATCCCGTGGAAAGACCAAAACCACTGATGTGGTGCATCTCCAAAGACTTGTTGACTTCCCTACTCCCTCTGTGTGACTCTGACTGGTTCTTACTGAAGATGTGAAGCTCACAGATACTATACTTCATTAGAAAGGCTGAGGCAGTGTAGTTTTATAGGAAATGTTACTCAAATAGGAGCAAATAGTACATTTGTCATGGACTATTTTAAGTGGTGGATTAATCCACATTTGGTGTTCTAGTGTTTGATGCAGCAGGACGGTGTGTGTGAGTCTCAGTCAAAATAAACTGTGTGTATTCGTGGTGATGAAAGTGCAACACTGTGTCTCACTGTGTGTGTAGCTCTGTGACAGAGGAATAAGATGTATGTAAAAAACATACAATACCATCAGACTCGCACTTAAAGCTAGGGCCGAATTAGAGTTGGTGTATTGCAGAACAATGGAAAATTAGTCACTTGCACTGAGCATCAATTGAACAATTCATTTGATTTTGCAATGACTTGCGACGCTGTGATGTATATCAATAACAGGAAAGTATATCAATAACAGAAAGATATGCCTTTATGATATTGATTTAAACCAGAATAGCAACAAATGATACTTTCACCATCAATGAATCTACCAATAATTAGATTTTTGGTCGATAAAATGATTTGTCCAATTCACAATACAAAAGACAAAGATATTCAGGTATATATTCAGAGTGACTAAGAAAACCAGAAAATATTCACACTTGAAACTAAACACTTGAACTAGAACTAATAATATGACCCTGAGGCAGCAGTTTACATCTGTATGACTGATAGAAATACTGGCAGATGTTTGTCTTCTACAACCTCAGTGAAAACACTCCTCAATCTACAAGATACTTTTTCCCCACGTGTCTGAATGTGAAACCAACTGACCTTCTCCGGCTCCTCTGCGGTCCACACCTTGACGATACTCATGTGCTTGTTGAGCTGGGTCTTGACCGCCTGCTCGATCTGGCTGTTGAACTTCATGAAGCTCACGTAGCTGATGTAGCCCATCACCAGCAAGATGCTCTCCCACCACAGGATCACGCTGTCCAGGAAGAAGATGATGAGCATGACAAGGTCCAGGATGTAGAAGGTCACGTCACGGAACAGAGGCCACCAGGTCAGGTGCAGCATCTCCCGGGAGAAAATGGCACACATGCCGATCACAAACAGGATGTTGAAAACAGCTGAGCCCACGATGGTGCCGATGCCCACATTGCTGTGGGAGATGAAGACACCGATCAGGGAGGTGAAGAGCTCAGGGGCAGAGCCTCCAGCTGCCATGAAGGTGGCTCCGGCCACGTCGTCAGAAATCTCCATCTTGACGGTGATGACCTCCAGCGCAGGAACGAAGAACTCATCGCAGACGATGGCCAAGGCGACAAACATGTAGGTCATGCCCATGATGTGCAGGGACACCCAGCCTTGTTGTCGCTGCTCCACCGAGAAGAGGTCCTCTGGGTACTCACCCTTCCTGCTAGGGGGCTGGGGCGGGGGACGTGGGGAAGCTGCGGTGGTTGATGGCGGTGGAGATGGAGTTGGAAGAGGTTTGGGGGGCTGAGGATCTACGTAGATACACTGTTCGATATCTGTCCTGTTGACTGTTATCACCAGAGGAGGTTTGCTGCTCTCAGGTGGGACAACCTCCTCCTCCGTCTCATTGGATGCCATCACCTCCCGAATGTTGACCTCCACAACATCATCATCATCACCCGCCTCTGCTCTGAGAGCGTCATCCGTCTGCGCGGCGGCTTGCGGCTCTGACAGCCTGGCTTTCAGAGTCAGAGTGTAGACAAAACACAGCAGCACACCTGAGATGAAGAAGAGGACGCGACTGCGCCTGAGTCTCCTCCTCAGAGGCGAGTGCACGTTCATTGCCCTCGTGGTCTCGACTCCAAACAGGAAGCTATGTCAGATGCATTGCTATTCCTTGATAGTTCCAGCAGCGTTGTGTGGCGAGAAGACACCACTGTCAGAGAGGAGACACACACATGTGCACACAGTGTGTTTCATCTTTTACAGCTGGCAGCTTCAACCTGTGGAAGGACTGAAAACAGAAAACACACACAGCTGAAAATCACATCATCATCAACAAGTGTGTATTGTTTTTATGTGCTCTCTGCTTGCATAGTGGCAGAGGCACATCTACTGAGAAGTGTGTGTGTTTGGGGGGGGGGGGTTATGGGGATGCAGACAGACACCTGTTACTATGGCTACATAATCACACAGGCTTTGGCTTCTCACAAAACACGAGTCCATTGAAGACACATTAAATATGTTCAAACGCTGAGAAAACCGTCAAAATGAAGCATTTAATTCGCCTCTAATTATATGTGGTGTTACAGCGTGAGCGCGCGCTAGGAAAGAACGTGATGAAATGCGCGTGCACAAAACGATTATTAATGAAACATTAATTAACCCTACCGGCAGCGCATTAAGATATCATATATATCAGATATCATACATCTGCGCGTGAAAATGGCGCGTTGAGGTTTAATTGTGGACTGATTGAGACCAGCGCGGATTATCACGCAAGGTCGACGCAAACTGTTAATCTATATTCTTCCAGCAGCTAAAAACTATAACAAAGGGACAATAAAAACAGAAAGAAGCTGTGTGCAGTGAGTGGTGGTGCGGGTCTTACCTGTACCGCCGGCTGCTCGGCCCCTCGCCGCTGCGGACCGTCCCTCCAGCTGTGCGTAACGGACGCAGAGATGCTGACTCCGGTTTTTGGGGAGCTACAAGGGCGCACCGCATGTCAGGGCTTGAACGAGGCTCAGCATAATGCTGCTAAGAGGATTAGGAGCCAAACACCTCTCACCTTCCCTTTCACACATAACTCTGTATCAATACACCAACATTCAAAGCGCTGTGCTGGTCGCAGCTGCCGGTTTGAGGTGAAACCTCGGAGGCGCCTGTGAGCGTGGCGCCTGTTGCATGCAGAATAATGACCACATGTTCATGGGCTGACAGGAGGAGTTTGGTCGTTATTTTGGGTGTGGTCAGGGGAAAAGCTCATTTGTAGGAGCGTGGAGAATTGATTTTATGATTTGATTTTAAAATGCAGCGTGAAAACTAATTTTCATGTCAATTTTGAAATTTAATGTGACAGTTTTGTGACTTTGCTCAGGGTTAGTCAACAGCGTTTGGACTGCAACTCCAGTTAAGCTGAATCAATAAATAAATAAATACAAAAAAATGAAAATAATAAAACCTTTAATAAATTTTAACTGTTGAAAGCACATGAGGAAACAATCAGACTATGAAAACCAACATATTTTTGACTCCTTGTGTTTCCATCAAATTAAAAACACTGAACTTCTAGGACTAATAGTTTCACACTGAAGGAGGACTCCGGATTTTGTGTCCCATCACTTACATTAGAGGCACACTATAGGAAGGGATTCTCTTAATGGAGAGTTTGATTGCCAGTGTTCATATGGGCAGGATTTTGTTTTCTTATAAACTACTCTGCATCTTGGGGTAAAAGAAAAACAACCATATGGGGTTTAGAAAATGAAACATAAGGAATCTTAGGTTCTCTGTGTGCGGATGCTTAAAATACTCCAGCTCTTACTAATAATATCAAAAAAATTAATAAGAATAGCAATAATAGTAGCCAATAAATACATAGAGATTGTAATCCTCCTCTGTACCAATGAATGCCAAAAACAGGAAAAATAAACATTTTTGATGTCACAATGGGAACAGGAATCCAACAACAACAACGAAATAAAAAAAACACCTCCAACGTAGGAATTCCAATATTTAATGTTTTTTTTGGTCAGGAAACCATAAGTGAGTTATAACTGAACACAGCATTGGTCTGAATTCGCCTACAGACTTTTGAAAATGCAATAAATGGGCATGTAAGAGTGTCTGCATCAACCTGTGTGTCCGCTGCACATCGCTCCCCAAGAGACAACCCTTACAAAGATCAACAGGAAACAAATTAAAAGCAACAACTTCAGTACACACAAATAAATATAAACAAATAAAAGTGAAGGCTCAATGGTGAACACATTGGAAGCAACGAAAGAAAAAAAGAAGAAAGAAATCAAGCCACTCAGATTTTGAGTTCATGCTCAGACTGTGGTTAAAATAATGAGAACATGGGGTGGACGGCTCATCAGGATATTTATCAATCCTGATCATCTTTCCATCAATACAGCACTGATCATCAATCTGTCAGACATTGAGTGCAAGTGTAAAGTGATGACTTCACTTCATTTAATCAATGGCTTTATAAGTGGTTAGTAAATCATTTACCTATGCTTTACAGGTCAGTTATAAGCCATTAATGAATAAGACAAACATCTGGGTTAACAGGTTGTGGAAAATCCTCTTCCACTGTTTGTCTTTTTAGCTCTTAATTCACAAGGGAGACTGGAGCACTGTACAGCCTTTAATTAATCAATAACATTTATCCGTCACTGACTGACCTTTGCAGATGGCTTATTACAAATTGAGAAATGTCTTATCCTTTATTAATGACTTCCAAACATTAGAACTGCAGACTTGGTGGCTTGGAGCAGTCTCCCTATTGAATGTGAGTGCTAGTGTCGTGCTGGAGGACGATTATCCACAACTGGTCAGACCAAAGGTTGTTATTAATGGCTTATAACTGATCTATAACGACTTAGTAAATGATTTTAGTGACCATTAATAAAGCCATTACAAACTTAGAAATGGTGCCTTATCAGAAAGTGGCACCTATCTTAAAAACAAAATACAAACAGCTTCTTTCAAACCCCTTGGTGCACAATTTTAATGTGATTATAGCATTTTAAATTGTTATTGTGTGTAGTATCAAACAAGTTCTACGGAAATTGAATCTGAGTGTTGCTTTCTATTCCTGGGTCACAACCATGGTGGCATGCATTGCTGTATTTTTGTGATACTACCACCAGGTGGCACCAAACTAAATTTTAAAATTCAATACATTAGGTTGAAGCAGCGAGAGACTCCTCTGTCCAGAGAGAACTGGACCATGGAACTGAAATCAGCCTCGATCTTGCAGAACTTTGCGCACTTTGCAAAAAGAAAAACGGATTGGGTATAATAGCTACAAGCTACGGTAAATATTTCACTAAAAATGAACTAGAGGTCAGTCCTTTCTCTCTTCTCAAATTGTCAAACTATTTTAAGAGCTAAAAGTGAACAAATACAGAGGTGTGAATTGTGACGCGTCTACACCTCGACCAACGTTAGAGAGTGACTGAACACCCGCTGAATATCTTGCTTTTGTTGATTTCCAGTAGTTAATCGGCTCAGCTCGCTACAGTGATTATACAGATGTACTCCTAGCTTTCTGTTGTGAAGCATCACAGACCGGTTTCACATCACAGGGCTTCAGGGTTTGTACTTCAATGGGTTTTCATTCACAGTTTACATCATTTCCAGCCACCGTGCTCTTGCAGCCGCGGGAAAAAAAAAAACAAACATTTTTAGGTTATGAGGTTGACGTATAGTCTGTTGCAAATCACCAATAAAACTAATGGCTTGGCCTTTATGAAACATTGTGATTCTGTCCAAAAAGTTCAATATTTACTCTACATTACTTTGCATGGCTTCATTATAATATTCAAAGCAGTAAACGATTGATCCCTTCATCCAAGGCTCAGTGTTAGGAATGCACTTCTGAAAACAACAAACATTGAAACTTAAAAATCTCACTGTGTTTTCATTCAAAATATGAAATAATTTTCCTATTGATACAAGAACCACAAAAAAAGTGTTTCAGGATATGAGCTTTACATCACTGCTGTCTGCTTTTCCAAGAACCTACAAGTTCAAAATCAACTTGCAGAGACCTAAAGCAAGGAACACTCACACACGCTCATGGTGTGTCGAAGTACGTTCCAATGCTCGGGAATTCACAGTCTTCTGATTTTGTCTACAAGCTGTGTTTTCAGACATTAATACTCAGAGGAAAACAACCAAACATGGACAGCAGGGAGACATTCATATGAATTTGCTTGTCTCTTGTATTAAAATGCTGCAGGAAATTGTAAATCCTCAGATACTGAAGCATCCTTGAACACACCACAACAGAGAGAGTATTAAAACTGTGTTGGCTTTCAAGTGTATTCACATGCAATAACATGTTGACAGTAACAGATTTGTGACTTGTAAACAGGTACAAAACATGTTTTAAATAGCTGTTTTGAGGTTAACAATATTATTTTTGAACCAAGAAGGACATGATTTTCTAAATACTGTGAAAGATAAATACGACAAACCTGTTGCAGCAATTTGGGAACAGGAACAGCTCCTAAATGGTTTTTCTACCCCAGGTGTGAGCAGTAACTTTTAGATTTCCAATAATGAACTGGTCTTACATTTGCATAAATAAATAATACAATTTTGCCACTGGTCACCACTGGTTTCATTATTAATTTTCACCGTTGTGAATATGGACATTATATAATGATAATGTCATATGACATGATATGATAACAACTCAAACAAACTGGATTAACTGTCCATTCGACAGGGAGGCAAAGAGCTGGTACAGTAGGATTTACAGAATTTGGTCTGGACAAGGTTAACCATTCACCCAGTGGAGAGAAAAGGTGACCAGTACCCCCCCATCAGGTCACTGTGATTATGTGTGTGAGGGAAGATGAGAAAAGGCAGTAAGAAGAGAACAGCTGCTTTAACTTTACGTGGACGGCAGTTCAGAGTGTGTGCAAACTAAATGTGCTGATCAGTTAGTGGACTTTCCTTTTCCTTGAGCGGTATCGTCTCCTCCTCTGCTTGTACAGGTGTCGGAAATTGATGAAGAGACCTGGAGAGGAGAGGGAACCTTTGTTATTATTCAGTTGATAGGTTTGTTGTAATGTGTGTCTCACTGGGTGGCTGCAGGATGTTTTTTCGTCTCTGCAGACTAAACCAAAAAGTCCTGTTTCTTCAGCGCTGCATACATTTCTCCAAGAGTGCTGCATTTCCAGAGAGATATTTACCCAGGACAATTCAAATCCAATTATATCACTGTTACCACAAAACATATGATTTGACCAAATAAAAACCGATTAGTATAGCTGAAATGATTAGTTGATTAATTGATTAGTTAATCAACACAAAAAATGATCAGCAGCTATTGTGATAATCAATTAATTATTTCCGTTATTTTCAAGAAGAAAGAGTGAAAAAACAAATGGTTTCTTCAATGAAAACTATAACCCAGAATATCCAATCACTGCCTTTTTCTAACTGATTTAATATGTAACATCTGAAAAAGAAAAACTATGACAAATTTTCTCAGTGAATGGAAAATTAATGATCATGTGAAAGTCGGTTAAATGGACAAATAAACTGATTCATTTTTTATGCAAAGTCTCTGACTGGAACGACAGCATCCATCACTGCACAAAATGTGTCTAGTCATTTTCCCACTTGACCTGTTGCACTACCAAGTAGCATTGTGCATTTCAGTTAGTTTTAGTTGGATATCTTTAATGGGACATGGACAGTGAATCAGATTGGATGGTGGTATGTCAGTGGATGTCTTACCTAGAAACATGAGGACCAGGTAGAGCTGCAGACTGTAGGAGAAGCTCAAAGAGTGTCCCAGCACTGCAGGGAGGGGGAAGCTGAACAGACGGGTCTCATCAAAGATGGGCAGGGACTGGATCACAGCCACCGCTGTGAATATGTAAAGAACGACACACTGTACTGTCAGCAACAACTAACAATGACTGCCGCCAACATTCAATTACGCCTCCATTTCATCAGTAGACATAACCTAGTCACTAACCCTCAGCTATAACCCCCAGCGGGTACAGAGGGATCCACAGGCTGTATCTGAGCCACGTTAACAGCTTCCAGTCTGTGCCGATGCAGGCCAGCATGTAGAAAGGGTACCTGGTGTACGAGACGGAAGGTCTGATGTCACAGCAGGCAACAAAATACGTTCACCAGAGAGAAGAGAAAGGTGATCTGAGCTGACCTGAAGATCTCAATGGTGCTCCAGAGGTAGAAGACGAAAAAGACGACAGGTTTGTTCTGCATCTCCTCCAGGCTGCCGAAGATGACGAACAGAATGACGTTCCTCCCCGTAACCTGCGGCATCACAAGGAAGAAGACAGGGATTTTTCTTAGATTAACCTCTCTGTGAAAAAACTATGTCGAAGCTTCCTACTCTACTGTGGGAAAAAGAATAGTTTGCCGTACCCTGTGATATGTTAGAGATTAAGCACGTAATTATATGTTTTTGTCATATTTGACACTTTCATTTATAATCAATTATACAATTAGTAGTTTTATGGATTATGAGTATATCTGTTAAAGATACATGATAATTTGACTGTCAGCACAAACTGTTGTTAACCTGCCATCCTCTGTCCATTGATAAAACTATGACGCTGTCCGTGGTGCTGAAGTAACAGACGGATTTATACAAAGTCTTCATTTGATATTAAAGCAAATATCAATTGCTCTTGAGCCATTTTAAGAGACATACGTATTGTAACAATGTGCAGAACGGCCTCGGTTTCCTGAAGTAGTGAAGTAGCCATTGTTAGAGTTAAATATTGCTTAGTGGTCTTTGATTTCCACTACTACAGCAACGTGTTGGAATGTATATAGGGGCCGTAGCCGCCACTTCAAACGCCGCTGCTTAAAGTCCCTATTTTCAGATCTAGCAAAGCTGTTGCTCACCACCACCATCTCTCTCTGTCACACAGTGACTGGAAGACTGAACACTATTAGTTTGGGCATATTATAAATGCACATGACCTGCTATGAAACTCTGACGCTGGATTATGAATGTACACCCCATTATCACTAACTAAATTTCTCCATGTCCACATATCATTTAGACTATATACTACTGTAGGTCCCAATTAAGCCAAATCTTAATACTACACCACAGTAGCGTTTTAGACGACAGTCGAGGCAGGTGGCTGCCCACCCTGAATCCAGTCCTGCTCGAGGTTTCTGCCTCTTAAAAGGAAGTTTTTCCTTGCCACTGTTGCCTAGCGCTTGCTCTTGGTGGGAATTGTTGGGTCTCCGTAAATAATATTGTAAAGAGAAGGTCTAGACCTGCTCTATTTGGAAAGTGCCTTGAGATAACTTATGTTGTGAATTGGCGCTATACAAATAAAAATTGACTAGACAATAGACGACAGTGTTGTTCCAACTTTGTGGCAACATTTTTGATGAAGGTCCTTTCCTGTTTCAAATACATGAGCATAACCAGCTCTGTAAAGAAATAGTTCCCCCAGTTTAGTGTGGACGTACCTGAGTCCTTAACCTCAACCCCATCCATCACCCTCTGGATGAACCGGGACACTAACCAGGCCTTATCGCCTAATGACAGCAAATCCCTGCAGCCAGGCTACAAAATCTGGTGGAAACCCCGAAACTTGAAGAGTGGAGGCTGTTACAGCAGCAGCAACTGGATGCTGTCTTAATTATAGTGGATATATTTTTTTTTCATACTTTTACACTTTGCAATAAACATACTTTGTATTTTTTGATGACCTCTGTGTTATGCTGTTGCTTCAGTTTTCATCTTCATGGTTGAAGATGAAGAAGGTTGTAATAAAAATGAGAAGCGACCGTCTCCCCTGTCTTACCTGTATCATAGCAGGAAAAAATCCAGTCTTCACCAGACCCAACAAGGGATTAATGACCTCGAGCATGGCCATCATCTGACAGAAATACATCATATCAGCTGTGGTGTGGAAGGTATCGTAGAATGAGTCTAATGAGGGCAAGAGAGAGAAACAAACAGCACATTGCATGAGCCACTATCCATAATCCTCATCATTTGCAAAACAAATCCCGGCTCTGTACAGTCGTGTTCCTGTTTCTATTCAAATGAGCTGATCTGTGAATAGCTCCTCACAAACAAAAAACACAGACCCTTGTCTCTCCTGTTTGTTTTATGTTATTGCACAGTGGTGCTAATTGTGTTTGCATCTTTTCTGTTTTTGTGTTCCATTAACACTCACGCAAAAACTGTCATCCAGTAATTAATTTTTTTTCTGTCCATAAAATTCAAAAGCTATTTAAAAGTACAATTGCTTTTATTTTAATCCCTGTTTTTATCTTTATTTAGTCCATCCCTCTACAGTCTGCCAATTCTGCTTCTACTCAACTGTTTCACATTGAGTGTTCTCGTTTTCTCTTTTACCTAGATCTATGTGATGTATTGAATAAAGCACAAGAACAATGTAACCGACAACAGGGTGACTAAATATAAACTGTGATGGATTACCTGTTTCATGTCTCTGCAAGCTGATTTTTATGGCACACTGAAATTAACTGACTGGAAGGTAGGAAGTCAATCCTAAAATGCACATTATGTTTTTGTAGGAAAGGCTAAAACACACAAAACCACACTTATGATCTTTAAAAAAAAATAGTTCTAAATGAGATTCAAAACGGGGAGATTATTAGGGATCTCATCTGCACAGTTGGGCATCTATTCTCTCAGTTATTACACTGTAGTCATGTTAATTGTTGAGATCGGGAAACATGGAGACGTCATCAAAAAGTCAGATAGGGCAAGAAACGCCAGCAGTCACAAACCCGCAGGATGGCCAAACGAATGTGTACAGTAAAGTGTTCATTGTAAAAATCAGTAAACGTCTTGTAAAAACTTCACCTTAGTTGTGCACACAGTTTTCTTGTGCAATGAGGGTTTACTACTGACATTTGAGATGGACTCACTTTACATTTTACGTCCTAATAAAAAGTGGTTTAGATAATCTGGCTATTCTGTTGGTTTGTTTACAATCCACATAGACTGGTGCGTTTCTTGATCCTTCGAGTTTGATATGCTCAAAGATCTCAGCAACGAACTTGTTGAGTATGATGCTATCAAGCCTGAAAGAAACTATCCTTTCAACTCCACAGAATTTTATGCAGTCTTACTTTTTTTGTTTGTTTTCACAGCTCCAGCACAAACAAAAATCTTCATCAAATGTCTCCAGTTTGTGCAACAGAATCTAAAAATCTGCATGTAACCAAATGACTGCAACTTCGACAAGCAGGGGGCTACCTTGTGGAATCAGGGATCGCACAAACTTTTTTACTTTTCAAACTTAGCTTCACTTCATAAACTGACTGCATTTTCTTTTTTTTTCTTTTTTTGTTTTTACAAACCTTGACCAAGAATGAAGAGTCGAACAGTCATGTTGACAAAGACCCAGGAGAATCCCAGGAACTGCACAAGGTTGTACATAAACAAGTAGCCTTTCTTCAAACCGAGGTAGGCTGAGGAAACAGAAGACAATAACTACAATCAACTAATGCTAATAACACAACTGCTACATTCCTCCTGGAGGATAGACGATGTGAATTCATCTAATTAGAAAACTAGAAACATCTTCTGTATGATGAAGAACTCAGTGTGACTCACGGTCTTTACGAACTCTCGATTCCACACTGATCCTGTTTATCTTCTCCTCCTCCTGAAAGAAATCACACTATCAAATCTCACTTTGCAATGACCAAACATTTTACATAAAGAACAGACGGCTTCAATTGCTTTAATTACTCTGAACTGATGAGTGACTGAATGAATTTTGATCTGTCATATCCCTCATTTGTTCTAAGGCACTGAATTCATTTTGTTTGGTGCTTCAAATTAAACATAATGAGTTGGAAGAAGACTTTACTCTTTTATAGGGGAACCATTTAAAAAACAAAAACAAGATTCTAAATTCATAAATGTGATTTTCAAGTTCCTACTTTAGCCTGAAGCTCCATCTCGGCATCGGACTCGTCCAGCCAGCGGTCGAAGTCAGGAGCCAGAAACAGAGGCTTCTTCTCCTGCAGCGTCAGCCGGTCCCACCAGTGCTCCTCCTGCTTCTTGATCTTGATGTCAACCTGACGCTGGGTGGACTTGTGGTTGATCTGGAGTCCGCCATGATGGACACACACACACACACACACACACACACACACACACACACACACACACACACACACACACACACAGTGTTAGGAAATCGTATAAGGTTTCTTTACGGAAAAAAACATGAGGCAGAGAAATAATGTGACTAGGTGTGGTGTGAAAACAGTTTGTTGTTGTGTATCCCTCAAAGAGACTGTGACTCATGCTGTAAGTACATTATATCGGACAGTAACCTCGGATGGTGAAAAGACACACAACTTTGTGACATGTATTTCAAATGACCATCATCAGACATCACAGGTCTTATCTTAAGTCATTCTGCCAAGCCCTAAATATGGCAAACTTCATCTACATCCCTTTTAGTTGAGGGGTGCAATAAAAACCTGCTGCATTGTCTCCCAAACAAATTCCCTGATAGTAAAGTGGCTGAAAGTCCCAGGCCGTAGTATACCAGCTAATCAAGCTGCACTTCAGCTGGGAGGCGTTTTTCAATCAGTATTCACCTTGACTTGACTGCAGCCACTTCTAGCTGGTACTCCCACTAAATCAGCGCCACGACGCATTATCATGCAGTCACTCCACTTATGATAAAACTGGATTTTTCATCTGAGCAGCAAGATAAAAACATGAAGTGTGCTACTGTACAAAAAACTTATTGGTAGATTATGATAAAAGCGAGACAGGAATCTGGTAGGTTTTTATTTTTGGTTAAATGCCATTATTTTTGTTTTAGATATTCATTTATTCAAGTTATCCTAAAGTAGAGTTTGAGGTTGGTGACTGACCACACTGAAATTTACACCAAACATACAAATAACACCGCTGCAATTTGTCTTTGAAAGATAACACAGTAAGAGATAATAGTGTACGACTACAAGTACGCCAAATAGTTAATATCAGACACTCTAGGAAAATAAACTCAATCAATAATTGGCCCTCTGTACAGGCTATGTTTTCACCTGTGTCTTTTTTTTGGCTTGTTTGTCAGCAGGATTACACAAAAAAAGTGCCAAACCAATTTGTACCAACCAATTTGTTTTCCTTAACACTCTGACAGACCCGAAAGGCCTGTGTAGGATTGTTTGGCTTTGGAGGAGGTCTGGGCTCTACTGAGTGCCATTCTAGTTCTGATTTTGTTCCAAAAATGTAAATCATATTACAATTGGGAAAAAACAGTGCATTTCAATATAACAATCAATAGATGAATAAAAGATCAATACCTCAGATCTGACAGGTCGCAGGAACTCCAAACTGAACTCATATTCATTATCTCCTTTAGCTCCATGGCCCTGTGCTGTGGAACAATATTAAGATTACAGTTTTATATTATAATAATATTAGACTTTACATGTATGTTGTGCTGTCATAACAGATCCCAAAAACAATGTGAAAGTTCTTGGGAATATCTTTGAAACTTAAGTACGAACTACTACTTAAATACGAACCTCTGAACTGAAGTGTGTTGTTTTCTAGCAGGCTGATGTCAAGGTTCTGAAAAACACAAAGATATCGTCACAACCCACCTGACACTGGCGCGCACGATGCACATACTATGAGGTGGAAATTAAAGGGTAAGTCAGGTGATATTCTATATTTTTCTTATTCTTGACAAATTCCACAAAAAGATTAAAAACACCAACGTGTTAGTTTTTGCTGCATTATACTGAGAGAACATTCTTATATGTAGTCTATCCTCACTGATATAAAAGGGCCCAATATGTGTAATATGACAAGTGTTCTTCTGTCAGCCTGTTTCAGTTATCTAGCTCCTAAGGGACTAAATAAGATCCACAACTCCAGTAAAAGTCATGCATCTTTTATAAGACATCCATCTAACAGATGCAGGATGAGGATGGAGAAGTCTGAACCTGCAAATGTAGAGGAGGAGAAGAACCTGTGTTTCATGTTACTGATCAAACACTTGCACAATAATAAAGAGGTAAGTGACAGACTCGGGGCTGAGGCAAAGACAAAACCCACCCAAAAGTCAAATCATTCTTAATAAATATTTTTATTGGACGACATAAATAATTAACACCTAAATGCATCCTGTACAGAGCTGGGCTTGGTAACTTTAATGAGAGTGCAGCAACAAAAGAAGGCAGTCAAATTAAAGTTATCACTCACAGCTGTTATTTTCAAGTAATTAAGAAATCAATGAGGGAGGTAGTGTTGTTTAGTATTGTTAATTTGAACAACAAACTTCTTTACGATATTTAAAAAACGTTACCGATAGTTATATGAGCCCGAGCCCCAATACACGGTTAACAGCACCACCTTAAATTGTGGTATTTATGTCGCCAAAACAAATATATACGTTTCTGAACAAGGAACAAATGCACATTCATTTATTTTCTTTTGGCCTTCACAAAGCAACATTTGGGGTTAGTTTAGCCACCTTAAGCTGTAGCTACATCATCACTTAGCTAACAGTTAGGCTAACAGTATCTGCTGTACATCACAGCGGAGAACACATTACCAAACGTTGCGTCCACAACATTTAGAAAATGAAAATAAGAGTAATTTAAAAACATTATCTGAGCCGTAAACAGACAAGTCGGTGTAAGTTAGGGCTGAAAACAGCCGGCTGGATGTTGTGGACTGTCCTACCTTGGCATCGCTCAGTTCCACCCGGAGATAAATCTCTCCGTGACGCTGAGCCCAGTAAACATGAGGAGTCAGGATCTGCATTGTCACTCCGTGTTTTCTGATATCAACATGCCAAAATACTGGGGAAGTTTACTCAAACTGGTGAAATGAGGTCCTCATTTGACGCTCTGCCAACCCTTACACACACACACACACAACAGAGTGGATGTCGGACTAGATGATGGAACATACTTCCGGGAGGAGGTCGCTCACAGACTTCAAAATAAGAACCCTAAAATTAAAGTTTTTTCAAATTTTAAGTTATGATAACTGTGCTCAAGCCAGCTTGAAAGACTACACAGTGAAAGTACTTCAAAGTATTTTTGCATGCCATATAAGAAGTTTAAAGTACAAAAATATCATGCTTGTGAATGGAAGAAATAGTTTTTTATTATTATCCCGAATCAGATTTAGGCGAAAAGGCTTGTTTTTGGTCTTTGGAAGAGACTTTGATTTCGGATTGCTTAAAAAAACTACACAGTAAAAGTACTTCATTAAAATTAAATATTAGAAACGAAACCCCACGTCATCTTTTACTTTGAAATCCGGAAGTACTTCTTGGTGGGACGTGTAGTAGCTCTGGCCGACTATATTATACTATATACGAAACGAAATTTCATTTTGATTCGATTCCGGAAATAATTAATGTGAAAGTATACCGGTAACATCTGTCCAACACACGTGAGATCGTATTTAAAAGTCATTTCCAGCAGCTCCCCAGAGCTGTTTCACTGCAACTACCGTAAACATTTGATCGGTCGCGCACTGACCACGGAAACACGAATGACGGCGTAATGAACCCCGACAAATTAGAACTACCTCTACTTCCTTCACGTTTTGTGTATTTTTGTTTTCTGCCATTATGTTCAAAAACTATATATTGTCGATTAATCCATTATGTCTTTGGTCCTTAATGGACAAAATACTCTGCAGATCAATCGAGATTGAAAATATTTGTTCGTTGCAGCCCCAAGTTTCACCCCAAACCAAAACCAAAAATGAGCGAGTACCTCATGACAGGTTTTAAGGTGCGACCTCAGCAGGGGACTTGAACGCATCGGTGTGGAAAACTTCAACATTCTCAGTGGGATTTTCTCTGAGGAACGTTCATGTTCGCTCGGCTCGTTTTAACGGTGTTTTGGACAGGGGTTGGTCTCACGGATAGGTCTAGTCGTCCCGGTGAACAATGCTTAAGCCAAACACTTCAGTTTTCCCATTATGGATTATATTTTGTCGTAACTAGCTAACGTTAACATCTAACATCGGTAACGCCTCCTCGTCGCTTGTCTGCTCCAAAGTGCAACCGGCGTTAGGTTTTCTTGTTTATGTAAAAGTTCACTAGGTTAAAGGGTATTTTACCGGACGAGAAATCGGACTTCAGTTTTAGTCACGACTTCCACCGACTGTTACTTTCTGTCACACAGTGAGTCTTACATTAACGTTGCCGAAGGCTTTACGTGTGATTTCTATGAGCGTCGACATGAGTCAAAGAGGTGAAACGAGCGAAGGAGCCCCCGGAGCAGCAGCAGACCAGCAGAAGAAGAAGATGAAAACCATTTACATCGTTTACCTCATCGCTGCTCTGGATATAACATGGATGTTTTTGCAGTTTTCTGTTACCCCTGTAAGTATATCTGTTATGTCAGAACAGGAAGCCGATATTTCCGTGCCTCCCGTGAATGTGAAAGTTGCACCTAAATATCAGTTTCATTGTACTTCTTCCTTGTAATGAAGTATTTTCAGTTGCACTGTGGTATTGAATACTTTCACTGCTTACAGCGAAGATCGTGGGGGGCGAACATGTATGCAATCAGATAACCAGTCATGTAATACACACTTGCATCTAATAAATGCTGCAGAGACCATCTGTCATCCCTGATAACAACAACATTTTCCCATTGTGCGTTATTACCTTGGGACTAGAGCCCGGCCGGTGGCTGTGATTTCATGTGGCAGAAATGGAAATTACAAGACACGTGAAAGGTGAAACACACCTCTAGTTAGTGATTTCATGTGGCAGAAATGGAAATTACAAGACGCAATATATCACAATATTGCACTACATAGAGCATATATGGCTACTGTGTATGTTATGTAAAATAAAATACAAAAAAAAAAAAAAAAACAGCTCCTTAAAACTGTGTCCTCAAAGTTCACATTAAACTCTGGAGTCATGCATGATTCAAAAAAGTACAAAGGGAGATTAATTCCTGTGACCGCCTTCCTCAAATATGAAACTCACTGTCATTAAAGGTGAGCTGGTAACACCTGTACCACCTTCATGTCATGTAGCAGCCACAGTGATCATTCATTTTCTCAAAGAAAAGAGGATGGAATGAAATGAAAATATGAATATAAAAATATTGCTCAGATTTCAGTTTTTTAAATGTGTTATAAAGACTTTATTGACGAGCTTCACTCCAGATGCATGTGTTTACTTGCTGATTCAGTTATCCCTATGGGCATGACAGTGGATGTACTGTTGCGCTACACCACCATAAAAATCAGCTGATTCCTATAGCATACCCACTGTTATAAGTATATCAACATGCTACGTATGATTGTGTGTATTTTAATGTCAGTATTTTCATTATGTCTCTGTGTAGTATTTGGCAAAGAAACTTGGCTTCGACACTTTGTGGTTTGGTTATTTGCAAACCATGGTGGGCATCATTCAGCTGCTCGGGGGTCCTATGTTTGGAAGGTAAGTTCAATTCAATGTAGACAGTGTTGTTATATGCACAGTCGCAGACCTGCATGGAGATTGTTCCGTATGTGTTTCACAGGGCGACATTAGAGACCGACGCTATTTTTGTTTTGTGTGTTCTCTGGGTTTTGTTTTGTTAACAGGTTTGCAGATCTCTTCGGGGCACGAGTGGCTTTGTCTCTGGCCTGTGCTTCAACTATTGTTTTCTTTCTGCTATTGGCCATAGCAGACCATCCTGCCATGCTGTTCATCCACAAAATCCCCACAGTCTTCATGCATGTCCTGCCTGGTGAGCACCACTCATCTACAATCTTCCTCACTCATCATAATCCCTCCCCACTTTATTTCTTTGATAACTTTGTAGCTAAACCTTCTACAATAGTGCACATTACACCCAACCTTGAAATGTATAGAATAGTTAAAGGTTTCCCCCCACGTGCGCTGTTCTCCTGCTGTGACCTAAACTCTCTGATCAAATACCATTTCATCCTAATTCTATTTTTTATTTATTACCATGAAAGTAGAACGGCTTTCATTTGCTTTTTTTTTTTTTTTCTGTACCCCTCTCCTCTCTGCAGCGTCTCAGATGGTTGTTGCAGACCTTTCAGAACCTGAGAAACGCGCAGATGCTTTATCAAAACTAGGTCTGTGTTTTGGTGTCGGTATGATCGCCGGCTCCACGTTGGGCGGACATCTTAACACACGCTACGGGTGAGTGTCACTGTGTGTGTGTGTTGTGTGTTTGTGCTGCAGAGAGGAGAGGTTAACACGTTGGTACAAGCAGTGAGAGGCTGCTCGTGTTCCACAGATGGTTATGATAAGAAACAACCAATCGCTAAGTCTTTCTAAAAGCCAGTGATTCAAATTAACAGGAGCTTTACTTTTACTTTTGATTACACACTGGGCAGCTCTTTTATCCACATACGCACAAGTATCCAGGATTAGGAGTTAACATGTCGCAGTATTCTAGTTTATATCAAAATACTCCAGGTAGGATAACCAGATTTCTGAAACCAGGACATGACGTGTACATATGCAGCAGATACTCCAAAACTCTAATCATAACAAGGATATTAGTGAGCATGTGAATGCACTCGTGGATGAGTCACGTCTGCAACTGCAACAATGAAAAGTGAGAAAGCATTTGTTCCAGGACAACTACTAACGTTCACAGGTGGAAAATGACAGTATGTTCTTTTGAAAAGCAAAAGTATTAACAGATTTTACTACTCTATGTTTGTGGCTTGTTCTAAAGTGACCAAAATAAGTTGTGACTGCTTTAACTGAACATGGAAATGCAATAGAAACGACAATGATACATGTTGAAATGTTTATGTGTATGTTTTTGTAGTATTTTAACATTTACACCTAAAATGTCCAAAAATATTTGTCCACCTAACGCTGCTTTCACTTTGTATTTCCCAGGGAGGCATTTACCGCATGTTTTGGTGCTGTGGGGAGTACCTTCAGTTTACTGTTGGTATTAAAGTTTATCCCAAAAACTACTAAAGCTCAAACTCCAAGAGCCAACACAGAAAGTAAGACACACTTCCGTCCGCTTCGCCTAATGTGTCGTGCCGTTTGGGAATTTGTATAAAATGCTGATGTTCAGGCTTATGGCACACCGGCATTAGGAGGCAGGGGTGAGACAGTGTTTTGTATCATTGAGTTTCCAACTTAAGTCCAAATGAAACCACAAAATATACATTTCTTGAAGAGAAAATGTAGATGTCGTTGTGAATGAATCAGTCCTCCTTTAACTGAATTTTTCAAAACTCATTTTGAAAAATACTGCAGTACCCAGGAGCCTTTGCTGCTGTTGCCATGGAGAACGAGCCAGTTAGAGGTGTGAATCAGAGTGATGGCAAATTCAGAATGTTTTGTTGTTGAATTTGTGAACTCAACACAGCGCCATAGCTCCTGAATTCATCTAAAACTGACCCAGAATTTGACCAAAAATTCGTACCGGCAGTTTCGCAAAGGTGTTACCTTTAGCTCCGAGCGCACGTAACACAGTCTTAAGCTCGGTGATTGGATGTTTCTTGCTGAAATGTACCTTTGGAGCCGTACTTAACCTTTCCCTCATATATATCTGGCAGAATAAACCTGAAACCTTGTCAATACAGAGAGCGAGAGTTTGCAATAGTACAACCACTAACACTGTGTCAGCCACTGCCAGTTACAAATTAACATAAAAAACAATAAAAGAAACAAAAGAAACAAGCAACAGAGTATTTTCATATAGTTTAAAACAGATCTGGAGAGGAATTTATTTTCATTTTCAAGCAAAATTAGTGAAACAATGTAAATTATTCTCTGATTCCTTTCAAATGAGAGGATTCGCTGCTTTTCTTTGTCCTGTCATTGTAAACCAAATGTTATTGGTTATTTGGACTTTAGACTGGACAAAACAACATTTCAAGACGTTTCACAGGCTAAATAATTAATCGAGTAATTGGAAAAAGCAATCAGCTGATTGATCGTTATTGACGATAATTGCTATTTGCTGCCCTAATATTCTTTGTTGATGATTCATCACGGAGAGTTTAATGCCAATCGAGGCTGTAGATTAGATTAGATTAGATTAGAATAGTAGATTAGAATTCAGTTGTGTTTACTGCATCACATTCTGTTGGAATTCTCTGACGTCATAGTCACAGACAGAAGATAGAAAACTGCACATTTCGTGTCTGATTCAGAACCAGTGTCAGACTGCAGAAATCAACTGGAAAGATGGAGTCCTTCAAAAAAGTGACATTTGACGATGACGACAAGAATTCACAAAAGACTGGCCCCATGTCAGCCTATCATCATTATGTCTTATCGTCGATCCTTCCTGATGCTGAGCGGGAATACGCCCACATGCAGAAGAAAAATCAGACCCTTGAGAGGGAAAACACGGTCCTCAAGAAGAAAGTTGAGGCTCTGACGACTGATGCTGAACAGTTCAAGGCAGAACATCAAAGAATCCACCAGGTGATCAAAAACAGAGACCACCTGAGGAACCAGCTGATGCACCACAAGAATGAATTGTCAGTGTTGGGTAAGAAGATCAGGATTCAGAAAACGGACCTGAAAAGGGGCTGCAAGCAGAATGAGGACCTCAAGGAGGACCTTGAGTCAGTGAAGAATGAGCTGCAGTCATTAAAACAGGGTGCTGTCAAACAGAGGGCAGAGCAGCACAACCTGAAGGAGCAACTGGACCAGGCCATCAAAGAGAGAGATGGCCTGAGCGACAAGTGGCTGCGATGCCAAAATGAATGCTCAGAGCTGCGTGACAAAGTGACCGTCGTGCAGTCAAGCCTGACCTTGAAGGATGGCCAGTGCAAAGAGCATATGAAGCAAATCCATCTTCTCAAGCAGGACAGTCTGAAACTGGAGAAGGAGAGGGTCCTCATGGAAAGCGATTCAGAGGATCAGAAGCGGAAGCTCCGAAAGTGTGAGGAAAAGCTTCACACCCAGAAGGAGAAGCTCAAAGAAAGCAAAATTTGTCACATTGTCGAGGAACAGATGGGGAAAAAAATCGTAATCCTCCAGCAAAGACCTCAGATGTTCAGAAAACCTCCCCAAGACGTGCCTCTCCGAAAGATCGAGTCCTTACAGAAAGAGCTGATCACCCAGACCGAAGACCTGAGGAAAACACTGAAGCAGTGTGAGGAGCTGAAGCAAAACCTGACACAGGTGTCAGCGCAGCTTCATCAGTGCCAGGTGACGGTCAGAGGCCAAAAAGATAAGCTGAAGGCAGTGACAGCAGAGAGGAACATGTACAGAAGTGAGACTGAAAAACTGAGCAAAGAATTAGCAGACATCAAGAAGGTGCACCGCGCTGAAAAACTGCAGAAGAGAGTGGCCAAGAGGACAAAAAAGGTCGACCTGTCCTGTGGAGACAAATCAAGCCAGTCCAGCCCCTCACCCGTCCTCCGAAAGCTCTACCTGAAGACCGGAGACAAAATAAAACAGTCCCATCCCTCCACAGTATTAAGTGAGGTCCAACTGCAGTCCGATTTAAGGATTGTAGGAACAAAAATGTAATTGTGGACCTTACCAGCCTGCTATATTTACAAACTGTTATATAAATAAATTCATTTGACCTGATACTGATCTGATTCTTTGTGATTTCTGTCAGTGTAACATTGTAAATATGACAAGCATGGTATGAATTAAACAAAACAGACTTAAACCATTTACTATGAACCTTTTTGTAACATAATTTGTTAGATTTTAATTTGAAATGCTAAGAACACACAGCAGTACACCTGTGTGTGTTTATTAAAACCACTTTATTGTTCCCAGGGATTGAAAAAATGGGTTTAACTCATGATATAATTTTGCATGAGGTACACTTCTGCTTGTGCGCTGCTCAAACAAATTTATCTTGCTGTGGTTGTTTGATTGGACCTGCTGTTATCTGACAGGTATTGTTTGTGTAATTGTACATCAGTTTCAGTCTTTCCCTTTGAATCTGCTGCAGGTGAGAACAAAAGAAAGTCAATATTCAACGTGGGAGAGATCATAAGACTGACGAAGTTTCCAGGTGTGACTGCAACTTTTCTTGTGAAGATAGTCGCAGGCTTGCCGTCAGGTGAGAGTCTTTTTTTTTTTTTACTTTGTTTTCATTATTAGCTCCTCAGTTTTTCTGCAAAGCTGTTTAACTACAGTGAATGTAACAGTTTTCAGTGGATGTTGTTTAATTCATTACATACATTCATTTTTCTTCTGCGATTATTTTGAGGCAGCTTAAATAAAAAGGTAATGCAAGCACCAAAAATGCATGAAATAACTTTGAGATGTATCAGAGATCTGGTGAGGTAAAGCAAATTGATTTGGATTTAACATACATCCTTTTTTCAAATGCATCCATCTTTTATTTACAAAACAAATGACATACGCAAAGTCGGCTTGAAAAGTGTCAAGTAATCAGAAATGTTGGGGGGAAAAATGTGCAAAGTAAACAGAAGAATTGCTCTTCTTTTTCCAAAGGCATTTTTCAAGTGATGTTTTCGATCATCGCGCTGGACATCTTCAAGCTGCAACCTGAGCAGAATGGCTATCTGATGGCCTACTTTGGCATCGTCCAAATGGTACGTTTTGCTCAAAATGAAATCCAAGACATGTTGATTATAATTTCGGTGCTTTGTTACATGCAGCAGCTCAGGATGATATCAGACTGTAAAACTCTGGATGTTTGTTCAGGTTATTCAGGGAGGAGTGATCGGTCGACTTACGGCGAGATACTCCGAGAGCTCGCTGCTGCTTCTGTCCATCGGAGTTTCTTCTTTGGTGGGACTGGCTCAGGTAAACACAAAAAAAAACATTTTCCAGGATATCTAAAAACACCTTTATTTCAGCGTGATGAGAGAAATTTACTCAACTTTCTTATTTCCTTGTTTCTTATTTTACTGCGTTCCTTGTTTCTCATATCCACCTTTTTATTTCATTCCTACATTCTTCCTTCATTTAGTTTTTTCTTATTTCTTTCTGTTTATCGTCTTCACCATCTTAGTTAAGTGTGTTAGCATGCTAACATTTGCTAATTAGCAGTAAATGAGTTACAGCTGAGGCATTAGTTTTACAAATACTTGATCATAAGCCAAAGTTTTAGACAGACTGAAATTTTGTTTTGAAAGTGTTGCAAAGTTCATCCTCTGGGGATCATGCATGCCTGAACCAAATTCCATGGCAAACCATCAATCAGCTGTCAAAACATCTCACCTGAAGCCACAAATGTCAACCTGATGGTGGCGCTAGAAGAAAAGTCAGTTGTCAGGCTTCATCCTCTGGGAACCATGAATGTCTGCACAAATGTTCATGATAATCAGTCCAATGGTTGTGAGGTATTTAAGTCTGGACTACAGTGATGCTCTGCAGCACCAGGCTGAAGTGATTAGCATTTGTCATTTTTAGCAAACAAATTTTAATTAGAATTACTGTAATTACCCAATAATGAAAATAATCTAAGAAACTTTTATTTTGAAATGTCTCTCTTCCTGCAGGCCTACATGCAGAATGTGTTCCACTTCTGCCTCACCGTCATCCCCATGATGTTTTCTCTCAGTGTGTTTAATGTGATCACAGACAGCATGCTCACCAAGAGCGTACCGTCCTCGGACACAGGTGAGGTCACCCGGCACAGCACAGAACTGACGATGTTAATGGTGACATTAATAATCAAAAACAAAAACTTTCATTTTGCAAAGCAGCATTTTAATCACTCATTGTGTGACAGCATCTGATTACAGCTGAAGGAGGGAAAAATACACACAACACACAATTTAAATCACACAAACACGGCCAAAACAACATTTTTTAAAATAACATTTCAAAATGCAAATAACTACGTTATTTTAATCCAGTAATTTATCAAACCCACTCTGCTCTCATACACAGGCACAATGCTGGGGCTGTGTTCATCTGTTCAGTCTCTGCTTCGCACGGTTGGCCCGACTGCTGGCGGCTTCCTGTATGTGAACTATGGCGTTTCCTCTTTAGGCCTAATCCAGTTTGTTGTGAATATTGTTGTGTTTGTTTATCTGCTGCTGCGTCGGCCAAAGAAGTTGGCCGAGCAGAAGGAATGAAATCACTTAGTTTTTTGAAAAGCTCCAAATTGTCCAAAGCCTAACAGAGGAAATCAGTATTTGATTTTAGGAACAATTATTTCTACAATTGCACATACTCAGAGCACTGTGCCGCAGTCGTTTACATGGCGCGATAAGGCCAACAGTTTAGCATTTTCACTGTGTTTCTGAGGCAGAAACAAACCACTAGATGGCAGCAAAGCCCTCATTTCACCTGAGGAGAGTTTTATTTTCCAGGGTTGATCATTCTCACTCACAATAGAGATACAGATTCCAGTCATTTTGTTGATACATAGATTTTATTATACATCATAAAAAGTATCAATTAATGGACCAATTAATCATTTTTAATTGAATATAATTATATATCAGAACAATTTTCAATTTTTATTGAAAGTTTATTTTTTCATGTGTCATTGTTTTTCATTAAACCTTTAAAGATGATTTTATTTTTGTACGTTAATTCATTTAAAGGCAGTAATGTATTCCTTACTTTCTTTTGCATTGAATAGGAGCAGAGAGTCACTTTGTCTTAAAGAATGATGAAACTACAAGTGTTTAATCATATGAAGTCCAAGCTAGAAAGCATACACTGTCCCAGTCTGTAGAGACAACACGACCAGCGCCACTGGTGGAAAGTAACTTAGTACATTTACTCAAATACTGGTGCTTAAGTGCAGTTTAAAGGTACTTCCACTTCACGTTGCTACTCTGTATTTCTGCTCTATATATTTCAGGGAGAAATAGTACGTTTTTACTGTACTACATTTATCTGACACATACTAGTTACTTTTCAGCAAAATGAGATGAGATTCAGGGTGAAGAGCTTATAAAATACAACACATTGTTAAAGATTAAACCAGTGTTTCCAACATTTATGGCTTGTGAGCACTGACAGTAAATCAGTGCCTAGTTTGGCTCTTGTTTGTTGTCAGCATTTCCACCAAAGAGAGATTTCACCTTTACACTTCTCAGGTGATTTAAATAATTGTTCCAGGCACAAAGAGGGAAAAATATTCAATATGTCACAAAAAGCAAAGATAAGAGAAAAATACAAAAACTGAATAGAAATCTATGTATCCGAACTTTGTATTTTCTTATGTCCTCACCCATTAATCATCCCATGACCCCTCAGATTTAACCTCTGACCTTTGGATTAGGTTGGGAACCTAACTTCCTTACTTAACCACCTACAATAATGTTCATAAACTAGTTAAAACAAGCTCCACCTCGACCAGCTACAACAGTGAAACGCTGATTATGATTATATTATTATTATAATTGATGAATTACGATCTAGTAATAGATCTAATAACCATTTTTTTGCAGAACGAGAACTTTTACTTTTGAATCTTGAAGTAAATTTTGCAAAGAACACTTTTGTAGTTAAATAGGAATTTAAATGAACAACTCTTACTTGTAATGGAGTATTTTTAGATTGTTTTATTGGTATTTTTACTTTACGAATCTAAATACTTCTTCAACCACTGGTCAGTGCTCACAGTCGACAACCCCAATATGTACGGGCAAATAATAAATAAATTGTGCAGAAAAACAAGTGACATTGTGTGAGGAGGATAAACAAATCCTTTAGTGTTTATCACAGTCTTAGTCGTTCTCCCTCATATTTATTTACAGTTTTCTGCTTCCTCGGTTGCCAGACCACAGCATGTCGAAGTGATGTCACAAAATCTGGAGCAGGTGTTTTATTGTTTCCACAAAATACTAATAATGTTTTTGCAATATTACATCCAGCAATCCCAGATAAATATGATCTTATTTTAGCAGCAGGGGGTCAGCAGTGTTTAATTGCTATTACTGACCAGGCTACACCTTCAACAGATGTCACTGGTGCGGTTTCTTTGGCACTTCGTTGGGCCAAATATCTGATGCAAGTGGCTGCACACACGGGCTACAACTCATAGAATATTTTTTTCATTCATGTTGTTAAAATACAGGTATTGCTAACAAAATTAAAATAATTTCCCTCTAATATAACTATTAGGAATTAGCAGCCTTGGCTAAAATTGCACACCACTGGCCATAAGCAGACAGATTCCAAAATCCTGTCAAACAGACAAAAAGATCAATGCGATGATTGATCTTACACGTGACGAGTAAAAAAACGTGTCTAAGGACAGTGGTTCAGGGAAAAGTCAAAAACATTTCTACGCAGCTTTTAAATATTGATTTCATTCCAAAATCCTAAAAGTAAAAGTAAAAGTAAAAGCGAGCGTATTGGCAGAATATATTGAGTGACACAGAGCTGGCACGGTGCGACGGCCTGTTTAGGCAGACTGCACCTTTAATGTGATCAGCCGTCTCAGTGGCAATCCTATCATCTGAGCCTGATCCCACACACCTCGCTCATTACTCGCTGTAGTCTCACAAATGTTGTCTTCAAATAACACACAGTTAGTGCGCGGTAATCCACGTCAGTGCAGCTCCACTGACGTTTTACACTCAGCTTGTAAAAAAAAATAAGACACTTGCTCTTGAATCATCTGTCTCTGTCTCGCTGTCTGACTCACACAGACTCAAAAGGAACTGTAGATGGATCCAAAGGGTGTCACAGTATCTGTGAACCCAGGGGGCGGCCCTGACCACTGGAGGGGGTGCCTTGTTACACTTGGCCCTTTGAGTCAGGGGGAGTCGGGACAATGCTGTTGTTAACACTCCTGACGGGGACCTTTGGGTCCTCTGAAAGTTTAATGTGACTCTGCGAGCGACCTGCGCTCGCTGAGGTCAGAGATGAGCGCGGCCCGGCGATGGTCCAAGGTTGCCTTGTGTCGGCGCATTGGAAACTAAACGCCGGCGAGGCGGGGGCATCGAGTCCTGGCCTTGTTTTGTCCCCTGTGGCATGGATAATGAGGCATCTGTCTCCACCTGCCGCATGGAGAGATGAGGCTCACTGTCTCACTTAAAAAGAACACAGGTTACCTATCTGATTTGTCCAAAGCAGGACAGAGACATGATCTGAAGCAGAGGAACCTTCTCTCTAAATGTTTTATACCACGGCTTTCTTACTTCTTCTTGTGTCGCCACACAAAGCTCCTTATCACTAACACTTTGCTCAGTGTCTTGTTGGCTGTATCTAGATAACTGCGATCAAAATGAATCACACATGAGTCAGTTTTAATTACTCTTCCCTAAGAAAGGGTAAATTCTTATATGGAGCATGAATATTAAGAAACATTACTTGATTATAAACCACAGACTCCAACACAAAGCTGATTCTTGCTCAGAACTAATACAAACCTGAGGCGCATGTGACAGCAGCTCAACACAGCCGCACAGCTCACCGACCCCCCCGTCATCCTGTCCAGTGGACCTCGTGGAGCTCGTGGAGTTGGCCACAGGAATGAAAGGTGATCTTAGAGGGGTTTTGTCTTGGTGTAATCAGACAGCGACATCATCAATCATGAGAGGGGGAATTACAGCGGGCTACAATGGGAGATAAGATAATGAGTGGGGCCACAGCGACCTGGTGAGGGACAGCTCGAGTTCCCGTCCTGATTACATGGCAGAGGCCCGACTGGCTGCAAAAGCGCTGAGGAAGCTGGGTGCACAAATCCAAGACAACGAAAAGATGTCTCCGTACAGCTGAAGCATACTGAATGCAGCGAAGAACTGCATGCAAGTGAAATGGGTTCTACTGTAGTTCATGATCATTTTTTCTTTTTGAAGTCTGTAGTGTAGTGGTGCAGTCGTACCTTCAAACACAACTGGAAGCTTTTCTGCAATATCAGAAGGTTACAGTAAATGGCACGAAAACCATGACAGCGAGCTGTTCTTGGAGCGGTGGGACCAAAAATATTAAGTTTGCATTGAAGGTTGTTAATATCAAAAGGGTTAATCCTCTGGGGAGCATGAATGTCTTCAGCTAATGTAATGGTCCCTGAAGTAGAAATCTTGGTGTGATGGTGGCGCTCGAGCAAAAACTACGAGGTAACGAAAAACATAAGGAACAATCCTCTGGAAACCATGAATATCCACATTGAATTTTATTGAAATCTCCCGTGTTTCCCTCGTTAGGGTCCGAAGTGTTTGTCAAGGAAGCGAGATAGTAGTCAGTGGCAACGTGAAAAGAAATGACGAGTCTACATGTAGTAAAAGCAGCATGTCTCTGATCATGTGTCACGCCTCTCTTGTTGTTGTAGTAACTAAATATTTTTAGGTTTTATACTTTTGATCAAATACAAAAAGCTATTTAAAGATGCCACCTTGGGCTAAAATAGTATATATATATATATATATGCTCATTAATCAATAATTAAATAGTTGTTAGTTGCCACTCTGGTTGAACATTGTCATCTTATCTTGGACCAAAACTTTGTACCAAGTAAATAGCTGAATAACCCACCTCCCAATCTAAATACCAATATCTTCAAGCACGCGTTGATACAAAAAGGTGTCCTGATATTGAGATTATCATTTACTGTGTTATCAGTATAAACATCACTGTTCTGCAGGTGAGCATCACGTGTGGTGTATCACCGGGCATCTTAAGAGACAAGCCTCCCCCTCCTCTGTGTCCACGCTGCGGTGGAGCGTGCCCGGTCGTGTGTCAGCGGCTCTGAGCCCTGTGACGCCCGTCCTGACCAGCACGCTCTGGTCCACACTCTCACTCCCTGACATGTGCCGCTGCTCGCTAATCCTCCACTGACGCCTCTCTGCAGCATCACACTCGACAACAGAACAATGAATGACCACTGCGCTGACCTCCGAGGGCAACCGGGTCTCGCTGCATCAGACAGGATCTTCCCTTTTCTCTGTGTGGAAGGCCTTATTAGTTTTCTACACCGTTCAGTTAATACGCGGGAGCTGCTGAGTGTTAGCAGATTGTCTAATAGAATACCAGGAAACACAGGGGAGGTTCTTTTATGATTTTTATGCTGCTGCATGGAAATTTATTGTTTTCCTCAGGCTTAGGACAGTTGGAGATTTGAATGTTTGGAGCTAATATGGTTCAAAAGAGAGGATGTGGATATCATTTTAATTATGACTGAGCCGATTAGATAACAATATGATGCATTAGTAAAAGGCGGGAAAAAGTGTGCCAGCAGAGGCATCTGTTTGAATTAGTGACAGTAAGCTCTGCATGTTGTTTGCATGAGTCATATGGGGCAGCATCTGCGTTCTGCAGGAATAAATCTGACCATTATTGGTCACATTGGTGAGCTTATCTTACCACATATGACGCAACCAAGATTTCAAAGGAGCCGGTCTGAGTTGTTAATACAATCAATTAAATACAGGTTTAGGTAGATTATCTATCTGCATCTGGAGAGTTCAGTCTGGGAAGTTGAATATCAAAGCTTTGATGTGGCGAAACTCTGATGTATTTAATAATAAATGTTACATTTATGAAAATTTTGACCCAAATATGATGTTTTTTAGAAAAAAA